AAACAGCGGAAGCAAAGTTGTACACCTAATAATCGGGATCATCCCGAACATTATACATATAAAATTAAAAAAGCTCTTTATACAAGAAGGCATTCGACAGATATTGTTTCGGCATAAGTTCAAATATAGGGTCTTTCAATAGGGACGCTCGAAATTTAGATCATAGTAACCATGTTGTTAAAGTGACATCTGTCAAATTTGTTGTGAATTGTTTGGTAATGTATGGCAAATCACCATGGAAGATCAGATAGTGTTGTGCAATTCATAAAATTTTATTATTCGTTCGAGAAACGTTCGCATTACGTGATTTTTATCCTCGCCACAACCGTCCTGCCGAGTCGACTATTCGACGTTTGGTAGTTAACCAGTTTCTAAATTCGAGTCAACTAGTTCGATAAATAATCAGCCAACACCAGTACGTCGAAACGCAAGGAAACATCGCTGCTGTGTGAGAGTATATGGGAAAACCCGAGACGGTTAATCTCTCGTTGTTCACAAGAACTTGACCTTTCTTCAACTTGGCGAATTTTGCGTCGGGACTTGGATCTGTATCCCTATAAATTCAACTGACCCAGGAACTTAAGGTAAATGACCATAGATAACACAGTGTGATTCGCTAATTGGGTTCTGGAACAGTTGGAAGTTAACCAAATTTCGCCAAACAAATCATCTTTAGGGATGAGGCCCATTTTTGGATGAATGGATATGTGAACAAGCAAAATTGTCGAATTTGGGACGATACCAATCCACGCGAGATCCAAATGCATCCCGAGAAAGTCACTGTTTGATACGGATTTTGATCTGACAGAATCATCGGTTCGTACTTCTTCCAAAACGAAGCAAGCGTTGCCATAACCGTCAACGGCGAACGCTACAGATCGATAAGCAACTTCTTGTGGCCTAAAATGGATGATATGGATACTGATAACATGTGATTCCAACAAGATGGCGCTACGTGCCACATACCGCATGCCACGATGAACATTCTGCACGATTTGAGGGCATGGTTATCTCGCGCGGCGGCGACGTGAACATCGAGATCGTGTGATTTAACGCCTTTAGACTTCTTCCTTTGGGGCTATCTTAAATCGTAAGTCTATACGAATAAACCGCAAACAATTCTCTCAAAGTCAACATAACAAACGCCATCCAGCAAATTCAGCCAGATTTATGCGAGAAAGTCATCGAAAATTGGACCGCCCGAATACGTGTCACCAAGCGAAGCCGCGGCGGACATTTGAGCGACGTTATATTCTGTACTTAATATAAAATATTCTTTCAAATAAAAAAAAAATTGAATGGATAACTCACACACAACTTGTTCTATTTACATTTAAAAATCGAGCGTCCTTATTGAAAGATTCTTTATATAAGTTTAAGAATAGAATTGAGCTCTCAAGATTAACAATAAAAAATATATTGATAGACAGGCAATTGAGAGCAAAAATTAAAACGCAGTAATTAAAGCGTTGTACGTTAATACAAACAATAACTATTGATGTATTAGTTAAAAGAAGGATATATTGACTCAATGACATATTGCAGTGATGTAGTATTGCCGTTGGCCTATGGATTTCCAAAAATTCACAAATTAGGGGTTCTTTTAAGGATGATTATTTCATCAATTGATAATCCATATAGATTAGCAAACCTCTTACATCACATTCTACATGACAGAATTCCAAAACTAGCCATGGCTAACCACATTGAAAATAATTTTAAATTAGTACAAAAACTGAATGGATAAAAACTTGATAATAGTATTCGTTAATTTCTTTAGATGTAATTTCACTTCTCACAAACATACTATTAGATTTGGCCTTAAAAAGTGTCTCCGATAGGTAGCATTTTATTTCACGAACATGTAGTATAAAATGAATTTATATATGCATTAGAATTATTGGAATCAACTTTTTTTGCCTTTGACAAGATTTACAGACAGAATTTTGGAATTTTATGGGCCATTGTTTCTTATCATTGCAAATTTAGTTATGCAAGATCTGGAAATGAATGCGTTGGAAAGGTTTGGAATTGAACTATCCTTCTTTTTTAGATATGTTGATGACATTGCTATTGCTGCACTTCACAATTGATCTATAGGTTTTTAGAAGTGTTTAATCACATCCGAGGTTATAATTTAAAAATTGGAAGAAATAGATTAAATTTTTTGGATGTCACAATCATTAATGACAACAGTACATTAGAATTGAACGTGTGGACCAACTTTTTCGAGGAGATATCTTAGTTTCTTATCTCCCCACTTCTTCTTCCCACAAAAAAGAGGTGTTTTAATAATGTTGTAGATAAAATGATACTATTATCACATCCGAAGTATATAAAGATAATCTGAGATTTATTGTTAATATCTTTTTGAAAAATGATTATCCCATGAAGTTTATTTTCGACATGATAAATTTGCGATTGAGATTTTTACTGAAACATAAGACACTGAGGCAGGCTGCTCTCGACACTACTAACAATGAAAAGATAACTACGTGGTTCACAATTCCATTTCTGCCACATCTTTATGATAAATTTAAAAACATCACTAAAAATTTTAAGTGAGTATGGTTTATTTTAAATAAACTTGATGGGATCATTAAATCTCAAAAAGATGTACTTCCACATGGAAGTAATAAGAATATAGTATATAAGATTTGCTATAGGAACTGTAATGCCTCGTATGTAGATTACACAGTTAAGTTTTTGTGTTAGGAGTGCTGAACACCGTAATAATATTAATAAGAAAATCAGCAATCCATCAGTTATCACAGAACATAGGTTGGAGTACGCACATAATTTCAATTGGGAAAACGTAAACATCCTGGATAAGGAGAGATATTTTGGAAAAAAACTCGTGTCTGAAATGCTCCACATTAATTCGCAAGAGTATAGTTTGAATTTAAAATCTGACACTGAGTTTCTACACTATGCTTATGTGAACATTGTAAACAAAATGTGATTCTATAATGAAAAAATTAATATTACTTCAGATGACTTTCTGTGTACTTTTTAATTTTAAAACTGTTTGACTCTATCTTCACATCTATTTGTTTTGATTTGATATAATGCTCAACCTTATATATTTTATACTATTATTTTCATTTGAACATAGATATGTGTTCGATATAGTCCTCTTAACGATCTATCTGTATTCATGCGTTTCTATAAAAGATTTTGATATATGGATCACAGTTCGCAGTGGATGAGTTCTTTGATTATGCTTAGTTTGCCATTGTCTTAATAAAAATTATTGATTCTTTAGTGATCATTTAGCTATTCAACTAATTGACAATAATGCTTCTCAAGTTTGAATTTGAAGAGGCTCCTTTTGCTGCGGATCTTTAGCTTTGGATCTTATCGAGAATTATTATTAATGTTATTTGGACATCGCTGATAATGGCTCGAATTGAGCCGAAACGTCCGATTTCATCATATTGATGTAAAGAAATTTGAAATACATTGTTAATATACAATGCTTTAATTACTGCGTCTTAAGTTTTGCTTTCAATTGCCTGTCTGTTAATATATTTTGTTAATATATTTTATTGTTAATCTCGAGAGCTCAATTTTATTCTTAAACTGATATATTTAATAATATGCTATCATGTTTTTAAATTTTAAATATCAAATTACTCGTTTAAAGTATGCAACACATTTTCTTTATTTCCATACAACTTATCATACAATTTAAATCGGTCGGTTTTAATCAATTATTTTAGTCGTATTTTTATAATTAGTAATATTCTTTCATGTTTTTAATCATAAATTACTATTACGATTAAAGACAAATTAAATTTTAGATTCTACAATTTACGAATTAAAAATAAAAAAATGAAAGAATGTTATTAATTTTGAATTTTTATTAAATTTGAATTTTGTTAGAAATTTATTGAAAACATATCATCTGAGATGACAAAATATACAGAAATATAGAAAATCTATCAAACATTTTAGATAAGTAATCTGAAATTTATGATTCAAAAATATGATAGCATATTATTAATTATTAATTTTCATAAAACGTAGCCAGATGGAAGTTATTTAAAAACGATAATGAAGCTATATGATTAAAATAATAGAGAAATATAGAAAATTTATATCGGGTAAATAATCTAAAATTTATGATTAAAAAAGATACTTAAAGTACATAATAAATATGATGCAATGTTTAGAACCTATGTAACTTAATCCAGAAATGTCTCTATAACTATCACATGCTAAAGTATCCAGACAAGCATGCGATTATAGCCCAGCGTTAGAGTTATACTATCACCCTGTAGGTCTTAGTATCCCGTTGATTCTGATATGCGTTTTCAGAAATTATAAATTTCCGATACATGTAATTGTAATTAATAAATTGGATGTGAAAATATAAATTAATTCTACAAAAGAATAATAAAAAAATAAGAACAGTATTTTAATAATTATAAAAAACTTTTTTAAAAATAATATGAAATTTACGTACAATACTAGTAATTATGATAAAACATGACCAGAAATTGATTCAAAACGAAATTGTTTAAACCGTGCGACAAAAATGATAGAGAAATATAGAAAATCTATCAGATATTTTAGACAAATAATCTGAAATTCACGAACCAAAAACGATTTAATCAGATAGATTTTTTTCCTATCTGATTTTATCTAACTTTTTAAGCAGAGGATGAGCTAAGTCCGCGCAAAATGTTAGGTTGTTTCAAACGTATATAATAATGTTGAAACACTTTATTAATCATGTTTA